AGGGCTGTGACTTCTGGCAGCCAGGCAGGGCAGGCAGCTGGGAGTGGTAACACTTTTCTGCCACAGCCAGCTCTGCTGTCAGGGCCCTTAACCGACCTTTGCAGAGAGGACCTGCCCAGAGTTCAGCCTCCTCAGATGTGTCCAGCTGTTTGCTGTCCTCCCAAACACCACCCGCAAAGCCATCATCTGTCCCCCTCCAACTGGCAGCTCCGGCATCCTGCTCTGTTCCTGGATCTTCTACAGATCCCACAGCCAGCTTCGTTTTTCTCATCTCCCTGTTTGTCAGCTCCTCCCATCCCAATCCCCTCACTAGCTGTGCCATGCCAAAAATCACTCGCCGACTCCCTGTCCCAGGGGCAAGAAGCTCTACTCTCATTTGCCCAGAGACGACTGCAACCTGTCCCAGGCACCCTGCCAACAGGCTGGTTCCCAAAGCAAGCATATCCGAGCGTGCCAAACACAAACCTACTCATCCAGCTACTCTCTCCACTACACTTCTTTATCCACCTTTCCTTCAGTCAAGTAGCTGCTCCTCCTCCCTTGCATGCTTAAAAAAGCCCCTTGCTTCTCCCTGACTTAACCCTTCTACACTGTTCCATTTCACTTTATCTGGCAGGTCTTGCAAGCACCTGTCTTCTTCCAGGAACCAGTCTATTGCAGGGTCATGAATTTCCTCCCTCCCACCCCCATGCTGTACCGTGACCTGTATCCTCCAAAAATGTGAGCAAACTGTCAATCTTTCTGGAAGCAGACTTCAACTCCAAAACAAGTGCATAGGTAGGAGCACATCTCAGTGTGGGTAACTGCTGGGAAGAGGCACTGCCAAACACTTCAGCAAGCAACAGGAACCAAAGTAGAGGGCTGAGGCCCTGAAGAACTCATGCTCTAGCTGCCATCGTGCACCAAAGTCTAAACCCCCATGCTTTACTGCTGCCATTATAGAAGCTCAGTTCAGCCAGCAGGTAGGAATGTCTCCCTGTACTACAGTCACATCTTCACTTGGCCATACAGAGGTATCGCTAGCTCCCTTGCTCAGTTCTGCTCTTGACCCCTTTGCTCCTACCCCGGTCCTTTCCTGATCTGTCTGCAGACAGCATGCATATCCCTAGCATTTCTAACTCTACCTGTGAGAGTAGAGTTAGATCTGTGAGATCCCTTTGGATCAGACAGCTCCTACCTGACTGTTCGGCTGCTTTGTGACGCTTGCTGGGATGTGTGATGGTGATCTCCTCATAGTCGGGGTCCTTCTCCGCGATCACTCTCTTGATCCCAGACATGTTCTCTCCACTAGTCCACCAAGAGGAAAAATAAAAGCATTAACATCACCCCAGCTACCTCCTGGGCAGGCTTCAACCTCCCACCAAGGGGAAGCCTAGAAAGAGCTGGGACACCTCCTTCCCCAATTGCTACCAATTAACCCACAGCTGCAACACAGGACACTGGTCCCACTCTGTATGGTCCAGGAGCTTCAACCGCCTCTTGATCTCGGAAGCTCACCACAGCCCATGTGTGCACAACCATAGTGGTGGCACCATGGCAAACCACTGCCTGCTGAAGTGAAGAGTCCCCTGCATCCCACCGATCTGGGAGAACACCCAGCTGTGGCCCTGAGGGGTGGCCACCAGCGTCTGGGGGGACACACGGCTGTGGTCTGAGGGATGCCCGCCGGGATCAGAGAGGACACCCAGCTAGTGTTTGAGGGGAGGCCGCCGGGGTGCAGGAACCCACCCGGCTGTGGCCTGAGGGGTGGCTTCGGGAGAGCGGGGTTTCCCTCGCCACAGGCACTGCCACCTCCGGGGAAGGGAGCTCCCTCAACCCGCACCCCACCTTCCTGAGGAGACTCGGAGGCCCTGCGGGTCTGCCCGGCTTCCCCACCGCGGGGTAACACCGCCGCTGCCCCCCCCACTCCCCCGGCGGGACCCACCGCCCTGAGGTGAAGCCGGTGGGTGGGCGGGGCAGCGCCCGCGCGCCCGGGCCCACGTGCCGCTCCCCTCCCCCCTCCCGCGCGCGCACGCACACACACACCACACACACACAAAGCCGCCGCCGCGCGCTCCTCCCTCTCCTCTCCCCCCTCCTCCCTCCTTCCTCTAATCTGTGGCATTGTTTTATTGGTTAACGTGGCAGGGCTTGTCTGGAGACATTTTGGTGCCAAAAGGGCCAAAACAGCTGGGAAGGTGTTCTGCTGGCAACGGTTTTTAAAGTAGCTTCCTTCCCGTGCTCCTTCTTTTTGTGTGACTGAGCCGGTGTGAGAGCAGTCATGGCGGGGGCCTCCTTCCCCTCCTTCCCCTCCTTCCCCTCCTTCCCCTCCTTCCCCTCCTTCCCCGGGGCTCACGCCCGACTCGGGGCTCGAGGGAGGGAGGGGGCACCCCGTCTTCCTGCCGCTTGTCTCCACCCCGCGCTGGCCGCAGAGCGGTTGTGCAAGGGCTGTAGCGAGCTGCAGGGGAGTGTCACCCTGTGCCACCACCTCTCCAGCTCCTGCCAGGGCTGCGTTTGCTCCCAGGTGCCAGCGCCGAGCTCCGGCGTGCCCTCCCCTCGCCCCCCAGGCTGTGGCACGCTGCTCTGCAGAGCCTCAGCCCCCATTCTGTGTCATGTCATTGTGTCCCCGTGTCCCTCCCTGCATTTCTCAGCCATCCCCAGGCCTCCAGAGCCTTGGGAAGGCGCGCGGGGAGCGCGGGAGGACGCTGAGGGAGGGGCGGCCGAAGGGCGATCGCTGCGGCTGTGGGGAGCCCGGCCGCGCCGCTCTCCGGCCCTGGGTGCGGAGGTAACGGGCCGTTTGTGGGCGCTAATTAACTCCCGACGCCGGTGGGCACTAATTAACCCTCAACACCAGAAAAAAACCCGAGATTGGCGACCCTGTAATGTTTGGGTTTAGCTATGTTCATGTGTTGGCCTAATCACAGTTTACTGTCTGAAGCAACTTTAATAGTAAAATTTGAAGAAGGTATCTTCTCTAGTGGTCAGTGAGGGAGGATCATTAGGAAAAACCCCAGGACAGGAGGCACAGCCCGTCTGAGGTGCGGGACCCCAAAGGCCCGGTGTCCCCTCACAGGGCTGCCTGTCATTACCTGTTGGGTGCATAAGCCTTTTGCTCTGATCTCCTCACAGACAGGCTTCAAAAACACCTCATGCCACACTTTCCACTCACCATATCTTATGGTCTCTCGAGTCAGGGCTAAAACTGCCCAAATTAGTGCAATTAGTACCACAGTTGGTGTTCGGTTTTGGCCAGGTTCTAACACCTGTCCAGTGCGGCTAGTGGCAAGTGATGCTTTGGTCTGTGGTAGTCCTGTGGCTCGCGCAGTGAGCTGCTAATCAGCATAAATTAATGTCCTGCTCATACACATATTTGCCATCCTGTTTATAAAGCTGCTAATTAGCAATCCTATGCTGAATGTTCAAGACTTAGCCCTTAAAGTCTTCTTTCTTTCTGATTTCAGAACCACCACTACAATGGTTTTCTGATTTCTTACCAAGCAACAAATGTGAACTATGAGACTGTTCCTATACTTGAATTTTTATCATGCTTATCAGGAAAAGTAAGTACATAATGTACTTCAATTTTATTTTCTTCGTTTCTCCTGCTTAATGGGAAGAGGCTGTTGTTAAAATATTGCTGCCACTTGACTATTTGTAAGAGCTAAAATATCTCAAAAATATTCCCATTGCTTTGCAGTCTGTGGATGCCCTTTCAAGCAACATTACTTCTTTCACAAAAAGTAAACTTCTGCAAGCATTGAACTCAGTCTTAACTTACTTTTGGCACCCCAGCAAGAGCCTCTCGGTCGCTGTAAACGAGCCTGGGCACACTGTGTAACTGCACTGTTGGCTTGCCAAGTTTTATTTAATATTAGAAGGTATTTGAAAACCACTGTGTATCTTAATATTGCAACATATAGACTCTATCACCTCTATGGGGCTAAGTTAAAAACTGTTGGAACTTGTGCAGCTACTTCGCTTTTCTGCAGCTCAGAGCTGCAAGGGAAAAAAAATGCAGCAGTATTATCATGTCTGTTTAAGTAAGTTATATTAAAATGCCAACGTCTGGCGCCATTTCTATAAAGAGCTTCTCTTTATACTTATTTCATCGTGTCAGAGAGACACAGAGTATATTGAATATAAGGATTGCAGTGCCTTGGGCTTTATTTTGGCATATCCAGAACATCCCACATCTGAATACACCGCAGAGAGAACAGACTTCTGATGCAGATTAGATTTCAGTGGGCTGCAGGGGAAAGCTATGGGAGCTGTACTTGATTGCTACAATATCTAAAATAAATGTGTTTAGGAAGAAGGCAAGTTTAGGGATTACACGAAGGGCAAATTGTAGATCCAGAATACATGTTATGGGGAAGAGGAAGGCAGGAGTACAGCTACTATTGCACTACAAAATACATGAAAGATGGATGTAATCTGTAAAAAAACAGGGGCACTAAACCAAATACTTTCTTCATATCAGTTCAAGTGTAGTAGTACCACCCCATCTCAGCCCCTACCCTGCCATCTGCCACTGGGACCTTGAGATGACCAAGTAGCTAATTTTAGAATAAACCTTCTATAGGATTCTTCCCGACCTGTATTGTTTCCAGTCGCCTTCCTAGCATTATGCTACCTTTTCCTGATTTCCCATGCTGGTTTTGTCCTCCAGGTCCCTTCACATCCTTTTCCCATCGCAATACCCAGGACTAAACAGCATTTTGCATCCCAGCCCTCTGCTTTATAATTTTTCCAGTTTTCTCTCTAAGTTTACTCTTCTGCACAGCCTCCAGCTTGCCTTTATTCATGTCAAGAGTAAGTTCCATGAAGAAGACAGAAAGATGAGCAGGGAAAACACTTAGACTGGGAGACAGGAGGGATCGATGGATGGATACAGAGGGATTCTGCAAAGGGGCAGAATCCCACAAGTTAAATGGCCCAGAAAAAAACAGGAAGGAGTTTCCTCCTTGCATCACAGAGCCCCACCCTGGAACTTCTCATAACCGAAATAAAACACAGTGAACTATTCAAAAGGCAAATGTTTATTAGGTACACTGAACTTTAAAAAACTTTCAAAGAATTATGCAAGAAATATATATTTAAATATAACAGGTGTTATTGCAATTGCGCTACGTTACAAAATCACTTTACTACTGTCAGCACAATCTGAAGACCTTAATGTTATATGTGAGATAATGTTACATTGACTCTGGCGCACAGCGAGTGGTCTGCACTGGTTTTTGTTCAAATGTCATTTGTGCTACACCAGGTTGTTCTTGAAGACAAGATCAGCTCTTCGAGGAACTACACCCTTTATGCTTCAGTAGATAAAGGAACTGGCAAGGAAAAACATGAGCTGCTTTCTCAGCAAAAAAGGAAAATCAAAACATGATTTCAGGTAAAGATAAAATATCATATAAGTAACAGTCCAGGAGGTAAACACTCTTTCCATGGCCAAGTAGCTCCTATTAAGCTGACTCCGAATTGCTACAGGTGCACCAAAAGGAGAATGACTCATAAGTCCAGCATTTACACAGATGAAATTAGTAATGGTACATTACATTCAAGTCTCTTGATTTTGCTTATTGCCATGCTGCACCATATTATTGCTTTGTATTGCGTGTATTGAACAAGAGGTTCATGACTGACAAGTCAGAGCGTTCAGAAATACCGTAGAGGCTACGGACTAAAACAAGAAACTGTACAGGCTAAGGACAGGAAGTCAAAGACTAAACCTCAAATCCTTTGTCACTGAGGGCAAAACAAAAAATAGGAAAAAACAAATACTGATTTTTCCAGATTAAATCTGCCATAGCACTGTAATAAATGGAAGCATCCTAGGTATATTCTAAACACGAGGCTTAACTATTCTAGTTAATGAATGGCAAGATTTATTTCTCTTAGAAGGACATCAACAGTCTAGACAGTAAGACTGATCCTAATAAAGATAAACCGGGAGAAGTAATCTAAGCTCTTTATCATAATAGATAAAAATATAGATGAATTCAAGGCACAGGTATTTTAAAAATTAACACGCATTATTTTCTTTGGAACTAATAATACAGAGTAAGCCATAATTACATTATCAACATACTGTACACAGGAGCTTTTAATGTGCATTACTTATAACAGCCTTAGCAGAAAATGATCACAGAACTATTCACACGCACAGATGTGCACACATAAACACAAGACCATAGACTGGAGCACTAGAGTTAAAGAGGAAAAAAAAAAAAGAGAAAAAAAAAAAACCACCTTTCCTGCAAATAAGAGTTCTTAGACAGCAACGTTATCAGGGCTATATATTTGAAGTAACATGACTTTGTGTAACATGAGTTCTGGAAGATGGCTGATGCGAGGCCAGCGTGCAGAGAACAGGTGGGTCACACACCTGGTTTGGGGTTGGTAGGAGGCTGCTTACTATTTTGTGGCAACGCTCGTGGCACTGACACAATCACGATAAACTGACAGCGAAATCCATTTTTATTAATGCCACCTGAAATAATTCAACACTGAGGAAACCTGTGTGCTAGACATTTTAAAAAAATATAAATAAATCACTGCTTGGCCTCCAACCAGTCAGCAAACTTCTGCTTAAAAACCTCATCTTACCTTGTAGACTCCTTTTCTGAACATATATTGCTCAGATTTTTTTAACTAGGCACAGCAAACCTTTAATTTGTACTTTCTTGAGTGCACGAGGCTACATTCACATGAAAACTTTCGTTTTGCCTCACAGTGATCAAGTTGTGTGAGTTTCTTAATGCTCTTGAATTGGCTTGTGCCATCTCCAGTGGTAGAAAAAAAAACACCCTATATATCCTTGCCCAGTTGGGCAATTAGGAAAAATTAAGCTTTGGCTTTCTTGAAGATTGCCACTAGAAGACCGTGACCTTATACGCATCTTTATTGCTCCAGCTGAGTTCAGCGAGTTGACAAACGTGAAATATTTTTACCACCTGAGTTTTAGCATCTGAAATTGCAAACTTAGGAGCATCCAGGGTGTCTTGGTTTCAGCAAGCCCAGCCAAAGGCACACACCCCAAACGCACTGCCTTTCCCCTGCCATTTATCACCCCAGTGAGTTCCTGTCTCTGCCTCCCCGCCGAGAGCGACAGCTCCAGCACAGCACCGTGCCCGGGGCAGGAGGGAAACCCAAAGTTCACAGTGACAAGAAGTCACCACTTCTTGTTCTGTCCTTGTAACTCGAATAAAACAAAAGCAGGATAAACTGAGTAATTATCTAAGATATCGTGGTGAACTCAACTATTTTGAGGAAGAAGCTGGAGCTCTCAAACATAAGTGAACCAAAGCTTCCTCTGTGAATCTCTGTCAAGGTGAGCACCTCCTCTTCGTACGTCATCAGCCTAACTCAAAATTGCGCAGTGTTAAAAATACCATATAAAAAGCTTGAGTAAATTATCATAAGGGTCCATATCCAACATAATCTGCATTAAAGATATCTGTGCTTCAGAGAGCAGAAGAAAAAGCAGCCTTTGATGAGAACTGCGTTGGTGCTAATTAAAACAAAAAAAAATAAACAGTAGCACTCTGGACCCTTGGTGCTCGAGCTGAAAGCACAGCACCTAATCCTCCAAGCAGCTACCAGGCACCTAGTATAGAGTGAACCACCTGATGGTACAAATGGAAGAGAGCCCACAAGTTCACCTGCCTAACCATTACCAACAATAGAGCCCACAGGTAAAACCAAACAATCACCAGGCAACGTTACATGCTTGATGGCTGTAAAACCAGGGAATGCACGGTACTGTGGAAGCGGAAGGCTACAGGCTGCACTATAATGCAGTACTCAAGTTATTTACTCAGAACCTTCTTGAAGCCAGGCTCCAAGAAGACATCAACTTTCTTTTCAATTAACATCGCATTGCTAAGAACGGAAGGATGTAACTCACGAAGCAGACATCAAAATGGAAAAGCAAAACATTTACTCTCACTTCTTTTAATGAGGGAAATACTTTTAAGATAAGTATCGGTTTAGCGGAGTGAAATATTAGACAACTCTTAGAATTATTTTTTTTTTTTGTATGACCGTGGAGATACCTGAGCCCTCTTCCCATGTGTGGTTAGATGAAGTTAACGTCTTTGTGCAGGTGTCTCTACCTCAGAGCTACCAAACCTATTACCATTTATGATGGAAATCTTTTGATTATACTGGACAACGTTAATAATTTTCTCTCCTAGCTGAGACACCCCCCTTTCCCAACTTGCTGCTCAAGCCCATAAACTGCAAGCAGGTAGATATGCATAATAGTGAGAGTTTAAATCTTTGAATTCAGCTCTAGCCAAGTGAAATGCATCGGAGAACAGGTGGCTCAGGAATGAGACTTCAAAGTTAATGCATCCTTCTAGAAAAATAGTTTTCATTAAACCAGAGTTGAATTGTTCTTTTCTAGTACATCTAAAAATAATTATTCTAAAAGAGCAGGCTGTAAGTGCAAATTATTTACAGAGTTAACAAGCAAAAAAAAAAATAATAATTCACTGCTTATTTGAAGGAAATCACTGCCTGAGTAACTGCCATTTTAGCAATGCTCCACGCATGTAACAGTTCAGCACTGAATACAGGTTCTCAGGAATTGTAAGCAGAAGTTTTCTTCTACGTTTCTGCATTTACTGGTTCATTAAACACTGTCATTTTCAAAATAATAGGTAACAGTACATAAATTGTTAAGAAAAGACAACTGAGCTATAAAATGAATCTTCAAAACCATAGAAAGCAATTATCTTGTTATTTACAGAGTAGTGCAGTATTATAAACACAGATTAAGAGATCCTCATACATGGATGACATTGTTCTACACCTACAGAATAAAGAACAGCTTAGCATGACAATCAACAGTACAAATCTTAAAACAAACAAGAAGGAAATCAAAGGAAAGGATAGTATTTTTCAAATTGCATCTCTAATGAAGTGCTCCTATATTATTTTTTTTACATTTTCATTTACAATGATGGCACAAGTTATATACAGTGTTAGTATATAGTAACAGTTACTGGGCAATTACCATTGCTATCAATGGACCTTATTCACAGGTACTGAAATTACCTTTTCCAAGTAACGCTTGGCAAGCAGAAACACAAGAAACTCAGAAAAGGATTAATTTATCTGATTCTTTTGTCTTACACTACCAAGGGACTTTCTTTTAGGGCAATCTGAGTGTACATGCTCAGGGACTGACTTCCTAATTACATCACTGATACGCCAAGATTTGTATTTTATGAGTATTCTTAACATATACAAAGCAGTGTTTGGTATTCAGCCAGAAACTGAAATTTGTGTCCTTTCCTGAGGTTACAAGTTAATGCATCACAAAGTGCAGCTCCCAGTGCTCTTTAAAAGTCATGACCATATGGTACTGAAAATGATGACTCCCAGTTTGGCAGAGTTTCACTGAGGGTCAGAATTTCCATCTCGTGAAGAAATACTCTGGGAAAACAGATGAAGAAAGTCCAGTGGAACAAACGACGTTCCAGAGATGGTGCTTGTTTTCACCCTCCTGAGCAAGCACGGAGTCCAGAGCCCTGAGGCCAGGGATGTCTCTGCAGGGGCCTTAGGATTTTGGTTTTTTTCCCCTACCCTGGCACTGACCAACTTCCCTACTGGCTGCTGTCCTCAGAATTCCTTTGAAAGGCAGTTCCTGAGGTTTTTGGTGATTAATAGGAAATTGGTACACAGACACTCCTATTCATTTTCCAACTCTCAAGTGCTATTTCAGTTTTTATCAACTTGTGCCTCAACTATGCAACTGTGTACTGGAAATAAAGCAACCTAGTACAGAAATCTAGGAAGGACTTAAAAAAAAAAAAAGAGGGGGTGGGGTAGTCAAAATACAGGTGCTTCCTAGGCTTCAAAATTAGCCAAAACATGTTCTGTGGGAGTTACCTCTTATGGCTACGTGGACAGGTTCACAGATATTTTTCTGGTGAGAGGAGGGACCTTCCCAGAACTCCTTTATCCGTGGCCAAGCAGCTTATACAGTAGTTTAACTGTGCTAGAGTGATTGTCTGAAGAAAGGCCAAGAAATACTTGGTGGGTACTCTGCCATCTCTGCAGCTGAGCCATCCGAAAGACCAATTTACAAGCTACGGGGCACAGCCCAGGTCCCCACCTCTATCACCAGATAATTTAAGTAACGTGATTCAGAAAAGCAGAAGAATCCAGAGTTCATCATCCTTTGTTCCTCCAATAGTTTAGAGAGACTTTGCCGTGAGCAAAGAGCGAACCCAATAACTTTCAGACTTCAGCCATACTAGTCAAGAAGTTAAGAACTGGGATTCGAAGTTTGCTTCACAGACGCATGCCTACGCCCCAGTGGTCACTAGTTTTCTGTGTTATGGAGCCTTGTACTTCGCATGAACATTTAGCAACACTATGAATAAGGTCCATAGTGTTAAGGTACACAATCATCACTTCAAAACGTTGTAATGGCTCACTAAAAAACAGTTTCTCCTTCAGAAAAAAAGCATTCCTCAAAGATTCTAATATCTGTCCTATATAGCCTGTTTTGTTTTCTTTTTGTAATTCCAAATAATGCATGATCTAACAGTCTCCTTGTAAACCAAGTAATCTGCTTGTAAGATTGCTGTGCATATAAATTACAATTATATAAGCTTTTTTAATTTGTAGACAATTATCCTAGATGATTCTTTGGAATTTACCTGCCTATTTATTTTTCCAATTAGCAGAATCGGAACACCTTGCAGATATCAATTCTTAAGACACAGGCACAAATGCTTGTGAAGGCACTTTCCCCACAAGGCTTCCAAGATTTTAATTACTGATCATACACAAAGCAAACTTTCTGAATCCTAGTACAACTGCTCTCTCACAGCAGATAAAACTGAACTCTGGTTACTGGATAGATTTGTAGACTTGTTTTTTTAAGTTAAATTAACCCTTTTTTCTAAAGGCGCAGGATACAATTTTCATACGACACGTAGGTAGGGAAAGGGCATTTTCCCACTTCAGGAATCTTTAAAAAGCCTGTCTTGCAGCAGACCACGGGATTCATTCATGCCATCTTCTTTTTTTTCGAGAAAAAAAATTTACAGTTTAAAGCCTTTTTCATTATATCTATGAATCGTCACACAGCCGTGATACGATACTGGCCTGGGCATGGCTGCTACTCCTGTGATAATGCCCGTTGCAGGGTCATAACAAAGAATAGTGTCTGTGGCTTCACCGTTTTCTCGTCTTCCACCAAGGATATAGATTTTTCCATTACACACAGACATGCCACAATTCTCCTGTTTCAAAATACACAAAGGAATACGTGATTATTTAAAAAACTTCTACCCCAGTGCAGAAAGACAGTACAGTGACTACCGTTTGTAAACAGACCAGTCTACACTATTCCCTCCTGAAAGGGCCAATGAAGAAAGCACAATATTTGGGGAAATCAGCAGCACAATCCTACAGGAAAGAGTGTTTCAGATCTGAGCCTCCACTGCACGTAGCTCAGATAGGGAATACAGCTGAACACTGTACTTACCACTTAAACATCTCAGAAAAGGAAAGGAGGAGAGAACAAAGGGTTTCAGAAGAGGGACCACAGTAGGTACTATTAATGTAAAAAACAGGAACAGGGAGCAGCACCTTAGAGGAGTAACAGATAATTAAAAGGGATGTAAACAGAGGAAAGAAAAAAAGCCACGACTAAGAAAAGAGTTCCTGAGAAAAATATAGTGCTATGGCTTATTTGAAAAAAAAGAGAGAGGATTTTATTTCTTCCTTAAAAGCATGGAACAACTATCCAATCAAGTAGAGAACCCAGATCAAAATAGAGGGAAGGCCAGGAGAAAGAAGAACCAAATTGCTGTTAAGGTAGATACGAGAGAGTATATCACTGATGTTTTAAAAATATAGGGAAAATTAACTGATACACACACTACTACCAAGGCACGTTTTAAAATTCTGCTCAGTGCTCCATATGTTGAAGTGATACGGCTCTCACTGCTGAAGTCAGACACATACTGTGGGGTTTTTTCAGTGTAAAAAAAGCTTTCAATATTTTTTGTAACGCTAAAAGGCTTTAATCAATTATAAGGAAATTACTATCTTCAGTCTAAATTTAAACATGTAGCAGAACTTGACAGAGATCAATTTCTAGACAATTAAAACATAATCCGTTATACTGTTACACTCTTCTCCAATAGTAACTGCTCTCAAACACAAAGATCAGTGGCTAACAGTGACACCCAGCTGAAAAGCTACTGCTTTAGAAACTTCCTCTCCTGTGAGGTTTAGAATTACACAGATGAAGAAGCAAAGCAAGAACAGAGTCAGAGATGCAATTTTAACAGGGTTAAACAAGCATACACTCATTGCACGCCAAGATACTAATGTAAAAAAATACTTCTTGGATGTCTACAGGCCATTTAGTGTTAATTACCTGTCTGCTGAATGTATTCTGTACGTGCATCCAGTAGTCCTCAACCGGATCATAGCAGTATATTGCTTTGGTAAGCCCCCCGGCAACGTAGATCAGGTTGTTCAGAGACACAGCCGTAATACATCTTTTTGCGATAGGGATAGTTGCACGGAGCAACCAAGTGTTAGTATCTGGGTCGTAAGACTGAACCTGAAAACAAATACATGCATTTCATGATTTGAAATAATAATTGAAATAATAACCGGGCACACCCACACAGGTTATACAAGGAGAGCCAAAGAAGCAACACCTGGTGGGCAATATCTCACCAAGAAAGTGAAGTCAATATAAATATAGGGCCATGTATCAATAATGTCTATATATGCATTACATTCAACACTGTTTTCCTGCCACTCAGGTGTAAGTATTCAGAGAACTCGTGGAGCCAATGACAGCAGCCATGGGAAAGACCACAGCAACGGTATGTTCTTGAGTTAACATTTTCTACTCTGTATGTTTTTGTGTTATCCTAATTCCATACTCCATTCGGCAAACCAGTTAAAACAGGTATCTGTATGTAAACCAGCAATACTGTTTAGCGTGGATAGAAGATGCAATCAAATACAATTAACTGACCTTGTCAGAACATGTGTTGTCATCAGGACCACCACCGATCACAAACAGTTTGCCAGCACAGCTGGTGACTGCTGGGGAGCTCACAGCTTCTTTCAGGGGAGCCACCTCTGTCCATCGATTGGAAAAGGAATCGTAACACTCTACGCTGCTGAGACGGTTCTGCCCATCATAGCCTCCAACAACATATACCTACACGAAGTGGTGAAAACTATCATCATTTCATTTTTAGAGTAATGATCACATATAATATGAAATGAAATTAATTGAAAGCTGCAAGAATCCTGATTTGCTAGGATTGAGAAGGGATACTTTCCTCAAATTTTTAATTTATACATAGGAATAGAAGCATATAGTCTAAAAATAATACGTAAAGACTATCTGGAGAGTTCCATTCAGTCACGTGTGGAATGACACTGCACACACATGTCCAAAACATTAATTACTAATGCTAAGATAGAAACTTCCTATTTGAATGGCATTTGTTAAAAAAGGTACTTCTCTGCATTTCTCTTTTGACAGATTACATTCAGCAACAGCAGCAGCAAAAATCTGTCTGAATTTACTTTTGCTTTTCTGTGCTTTACTTCTTCCCTATTTCCTTACAAAAATATTTCTTCCTCTCAGTTTTTAAACTTTTCTTTGCTTTCCTGTTGCTCCTCTTGTGTTTAAGCAGCAGAGCTCGCTATTATTTGTGTCTACCTTCTTCCCTCTGTTGGCTCCAACTTCAAGTCTCATCTCCAAGAAGTTACTCCCTCCAAGGGACACCACGCGCACACCTTCCCTAACTTTCATTAATGGAATCCCCACAGGCAGTTGATCCCAATTACTGTTTTTATATTAAGGCATATATGCCTTCAAAAATATGGCAAAACCTCCCATTTCCCCACAGCCTATATTTAGTTAATTTCAATATAAAAGAGTAAGTGAAAAAAAAAGCACAGAGCTGATATTGAGAACAGTACCAGTTTCTGTTAGTAACTGTTACACTTTTGACAGCAGTTTGAAACACAGTCAAATCCAGATGCTCCTTTGTCTGCTTCTTGGGGATAAGACACTTCAATGACGAAAGAACCCACAAAAAATAAATAACCAAGGGATAACATGATTTTCATATCCACAGATAGTGTCTGATAAAAAGCCTAATTGTTTAAAATATTAATTTGAAAATATGTATTTTTTAAATGGATAGGAAATATGAAGTAACACTAAATGTGTACATGTGTTTTCTCCCATTTTCTTATATACAGCAAACATCCCCACTATAAAAAATTATAAATATATTTCTCTTACTTTACCCAGAAGAACAGCCATTTTATGGCGCCATCTGCCTTTATTTAAGGAGGCAACTCTGATCCAAATGTTAAGTTGAGAGTTATAAATCCAAACATCCCGGCTATTGATTCTTCCACCTTTAAAAACAAAAATATGCCAATTTGAATAAATTCATTACTGAATGAGAAATGTTAACTATTAACATGCCTCTCTACAATGGGCAAAAAACTATCCTTTTTAGGTGAAATAAAGATCTATTTATATTTATATGTTAGACTGAACAAGTCAATTTCAGTGGATTTCAAACATGAAAACATACACTAATTTATTTTCTGTATGTGTGCCTTTCCCAGTAACATGCTGAGATCGCATTAGATTATTTCTTGAGGCTGGAATGCATTTAATGGCTTTTGCCCGTGCTCTTCAGATTTCCTTAGTGTCACTGGCTGGATGAGACACTTGAAATCTTAACCATTTATGTGCCTCGTGGCAACAACCCTCCCTAACATTTGCTAAAAAACTGAATGAGAAGCGTTTAAAACCCTATAGCTCTTGTTCATTTCACTCTAAAAGGCTGGTATAAAGGGATCCCCAGCTCAGGTGCTAAAAGGGATTTGTTTCCATTTTACATTCCCACAAGAAGCAGCAGCTTTAACTGTTTTTCTTCTGGAGTTCAGGCAGCCATAGGACAGGAAGGAGTCCCCAGCAATGTACTAGCGCTGCGGCGCTCCTAGGCAACTGGTGTTTTTAAAGCAGCACACAGCATGTTTTATAGCAGAGAAAATGCTGCTGGGAAAAGACTGCGTGGGATTTTTTTGCTCGTAATTTTTCCAACTGTTGCTGCAAATAGGCCACTACTATATTTTAAAGCAGCGGACTTAACGAGCGTAAGTTCATCTCCTTAAATACAATTGATATCCTGGAATCAGCTGTAAAAATCTGCCAGTTAATTCCAAACAAAAATCCCAGAAAACACTTTTGCCTACAATAAGATTGGTTTGGGGCTGGCATTGACCGTTTACATCAGAAAGTGACTTTGGTTGAGCTTAATATGAAATGAAATTAATTGAAAGCTGCAAGAATCCTGATTTGCTAGGATTGAGAAGGGATACTTTCCTCAAATTTTTAATTTATACATAGGAATAGAAGCATATAGTCTAAAAATAATACGTAAAGACTATCTGGAGAGTTCCATTCAGTCACGTGTGGAATGACACTGCACACACATGTCCAAAACATTAATTACTAATGCTAAGATAGAAACTTCCTATTTGAATGGCATTTGTTAAAAAAGGTACTTCTCTGCATTTCTCTTTTGACAGATTACATTCAGCAACAGCAGCAGCAAAAGTCTCTCTGAATTTACTTTTGCTTTTCTGTGCTTTACTTCTTCCCTATTTGCTTACAAAAATATTTCATCCTCTCAGTTTTTAAACTTTTCTTTGCTTTCCTGTTGCTCCTCTTGTGTTTAAGCAGCAGAGCTCGCTATTATTTGTGTCTACCTTCTTCCCTCTGTTGGCTCCAACTTCAAGTCTCATCTCCAAGAAGTTACTCCCTCCAAGGGACACCATGCACACATCTTCCCTAACTTCCATTAATGGAATCCTCACAGGCATTTGATCCCAATTACTGTTTTTATATTAAGGCATATATGCCTTCAAAAATATGGCAAAACCTCCCATTTCCCCACAGCCTATATTTAGTTAATTTCAATATAAAAGAGTAAGTGAAAAAAAAAGCACAGAGCTGATATTGAGAACAGTACCAGTTTCTGTTAGTAACTGTTACACTTTTGACAGCAGTTTGAAACATATGCCCCAAAAATATGGCAAAACCTCCCTTTTCCCCACAGCCTATATTTGGTTAATTTCAATATAAAAGAGTAAGTGAAAAAAAAGCACAGAGCTGGCATTGAGAACAGTACCAGTTTCTGTTAGTAACTGTTACACTTTTGACAGCAGTTTGAAACACAGTCAAATCCAGATGCTCCTTTTTCTCCCAAAACACCTGCTTCTTGGGGATAAGACACTTCAATGACGAAAGAACCCACAAAAAATAAATAACCAAGGGATAACATGATTTTCATATCCACAGATAGTGTCTGATAAAAAGCCTAATTGTTTAAAATATTAATTTGAAAATATGTATTTTTTAAATGGATAGGAAATATGAAGTAACACTAAATGTGTACATATGTTTTCTCCCATTTTCTTATATACAACAAACATCCCCACTATAAAAAATTATAAATATATTTCTCTTACTTTACCCAGAAGAACAGCCATTTTATGGCGCCATCTGCCTTTATTTAAGGAGGCAACTCTGATCCAAATGTTAAGTTGAGAGTTATAAATCCAAACATCCCGGCTATTGATTCTTCCACCTTTAAAAACAAAAATATGCCAATTTGAATAAATTCATTACTGAATGAGAAATGTTAACTATTAACATGCCTCTCTACAATGGGCAAAAAACTATCCTTTTTAGGTGAAATAAAGATCTATTTATATTTATATGTTAGACTGAACAAGTCAATTTCAGTGGATTTCAAACATGAAAACATACACTAATTTATTTTCTGTATGTGTGCCTTTCCCAGTAACATGCTGAGATCGCATTAGATTATTTCTTGAGGCTGGAATGCATTTAATGGCTTTTGCCCGTGCTCTTCAGATTTCCTTAGTGTCACTGGCTGGATGAGACACTTGAAATCTTAACCATTTATGTGCCTCGTGGCAACAACCCTCCCTAACATTTGCTAAAAAACTGAATGAGAAGCGTTTAAAACCCTATAGCTCTTGTTCATTTCACTCTAAAAGGCTGGTATAAAGGGATCCCCAGCTCAGGTGCTAAAAGGGATTTGTTTCCATTTTACATTCCCACAAGAAGCAGCAGCTTTAACTGTTTTTCTTCTGGAGTTCAGGCAGCCATAGGACAGGAAGGAGTCCCCAGCAGTGTACTAGCGCTGCGGCGCTCCTAGGCAACTGGTGTTTTTAAAGCAGCACACAGCATGTTTTATAGCAGAGAAAATGCTGCTGGGAAAAGACTGCGTGGGATTTTTTTGCTCGTAATTTTTCCAACTGTTGCTGCAAATAGGCCACTACTATATTTTAAAGCAGCGGACTTAACGAGCGTAAGTTCATCTCCTTAAATACAATTGATATCCTGGAATCAGCTGTAAAAATCTGCCAGTTAATTCCAAACAAAAATCCCAGAAAACACTTTTGCCTACAATAAGATTGGTTTGGGGCTGGCATTGACCGTTTACATCAGAAAGTGACTTTGGTTGAGCTTCTGGAAGTTCACAGTACAAGGATCTGTCACACTACTTAAAAAATTAACAACCAAACAAACTAAAAAACAACAAAGAAAAGAATAGTGTCTTAATTTTTTAAGGATTATTCACCTGAAACAAGAATATCATTCCGTAGAGCACACACTGCATACTCAGACTTGGTGAATTCTGGAAGTTTGGCCAGTGATTTCCACTCTCCTGTTACAGGATCGTAGCACTCAGTATATGGCAAATTAAACCCTCCAACTCGTTCACAGCCTCCAACAACAACTATCACCTCGGAATAACCAGTTGATCTAAAAAACATGAACACAGAAAACTAAGATGTAGAAGACATTTATTAGTACACGGAGGCCAAACAACATTGTCTTCAGAAGTGTGTGGAAACTGGAGATTTGACTATTTAGCATTAACTTAAATAAAAAAGAATAAAGTCATTTAGCACAGTTAGAGGTTTTCGTGGTTTCCAGCTGCCTCGCTACAGAGCAGGTTACCACAGCGACAGGTGTTCTGTGTAAGTGCTGGAGTCACCCTGCACAACATTCTATGTAAAAATCAAATAATTATAAAATACAAAAAGCCCTTACTTTAATAATATTTTTCCTTTGACTGTGTACTTAGTGGTATCAGAAACAGAGTTCAAGCACGACTTGAGACAATGAGATAAGCAACGCATCTCACACCAAAACCAGTACCCAGCCCCTCAATTGTACAAAATTCATAGTACTTTACATTGCTTAAATCTTCAAGAAGTTTGAAATGTTTCCGGTTATTTCCTGAAAAAAAGCTGAAGGCATATACTCAACAAAATAAAGGAAAAGAAGGAGACCTTAGAGCCAATGCACAGTTAAGAAAGTGAAAAACCAGTGCAGTGATAGGAGGGAACATTCAGGAACACTGAAATAAAAATTCAAGCCTAAACCAAAAAAATAAACTTAGTGTGAAAAAATAAAGCGTTAAGAGTCTGCAATGTACACAAATAAGCCTTGAAATCCTATTCCATGCTCTCATTCTTCTGAAGTGTCTACTATACTATGTGTAACGTATCTGCATTATACATATCCTACATTCACAGCAATAACAAGAATCATTATGTTAATCCACATTTGAATGTACAGAATCAACCAACCATCTTCAACATGCAAATCAACTCATGACCAACTTTTATTCCTCCTCTCAAGTTTACAATTTCTTGTAAGCATTTGTCAAAATCTTTTCTTTTCAGAGCATTTTTAGATTAAAGGATTTTGCACTGAGACAGTTGTTTCAAGGACTGCTGTCTATTAAGTAAAACCGAATGCAAGATTGATTTTATTTTTGGTAAGCCTTTTTGTTTTGTTTTAATTTCAATCCTGACATGATCTGTCATCTCGTTCATACCCTTGCTGAGTACTGCAGTCCTCTCATAAACAAACAAACAAACAACTTATGACTGCACTTGAGATAAAAGTTGCATGATCTGTCCCCAGATTTCCTAACACGTGAACTTATACACAATTATATTCACTTATAAATCCTGATGACGTTTTCCCCATTTTGCAACATACGGAGTAAAACTAGTTGGCCTTTCTGTAACACACCATATATATTTCTACTCAGAGTATTTTTAAATAGGCAATGCTAAATGCTAACATACTGTAAGATCATATGATGAGGGTGTGTATGTGAGGAAGCGTATGTACACACCTGAACTAGGCAGATGAAACACTCTCCTCAGCTCTGAAGTCATGTTCTTTCCTGGTTTCTATGTGTATTTACTGTTACTGTTTTTTGCTTTTTTGAGCAACAACTCTGAAAAGAATCTCTCAAAGGATAAGAGAGGGGAAGTTCCTGTGCCAGCAAAGCATTACCCAGGAAGAGAATTTCCTTAAAAGCAAGATACTCATCTCATCATTTGCCTTAGAAGCCAGCCAAACACATCAGCTTACACTTCGTACAAAAGAGGTTTGTCTGTTGATTACTTTCTAGATTAGAATAAAGGCCTCCACTTACTGCAAAGCTTACTGTACCAGATTACCAATCTTTATTTTATAACTAAATGAACCAAAAGTCCTTAATTGGAGAGAGGTCTTTATGAATTGCTATGATGGAGTTTTGCTCTTTGAAGGAAATATTAGAACCAAACAGTTTCCAAACATTTTAGTACCTTATAACCATATCCTTTCTTTAGTTAAGAAACTTTTCTGTTATATTTTCTTGAAGTTGTCTTGTGCTGTACAGGTTTTAAGGTTAGTTGCAAAAGAGTTTTTGCAAATGATGGAGAGCACATCAGTTTAAAAAACAAAAAAAAAACCATCAAAAACGTGGGAGTACGCAAAAAGAACATACAGGCAAAGGCTAATTCCAGAAAAGAACTAAGGATTTATTTGAATGGAGATTAGAAAAAGCTGTGATTTCCATCAGCAGCACAGAAAGACCTCCTTGTAGCCCTCAGAAGAAAGGGTGTGAGCAAAAGAAGAGGTGAGCTAAAAAAGGCACCAGAGAGGTTCCAGGAGACACACTCTCACCAGGAAAAGGTGCACAAAATAGGGGGAGTAGAAGACAACTGACAACTGAGTATCTCCTAATCCCGTGCCTTCCCAGGAGCAGGTGTCCTGAGTTACACACAGGCTTCTACACAGGGGGAGAGCACCAGCCAGCACAGCCTCAGCTGGAGAGAAGAATTTTTAGTAGTTCAAACAGATTACATTCAAAAATATTTGAAGTTTGGAAAACAAATTACTAGGATTCTGGTAAATCACTGATTTTTTCCCCTGCTAATTCACTTTTGGGTAGCAAGTGGGATAAAAGACAGAAATGAAAATTTAAATAAAAACTCATCTCCTTGGGCTAAAAGTAAGGGACTGCATTAAAGCTTTCTAAAGGCAACCAAAAAGGATGCGTTAAAAGGTATAAATGTAGTAACTTCTAACGAAAGAAGACACTCCTGTATCAGACAGCTTAAGAGGAACTGTGCGATGGAAGAATTCACAAGTATATGAAAATCTGAAAATAATTCAAAATATACAGTTGGAAGAGCCTGTTTTGGTTTGTGTATGGAAATGTACTGCTTGATCACTGCTTGATCTCACCTTGGAGATCTGCTGTGCAACACAACCAGCAGGGGACAAGAGAGACTTAAAAGGAGCATGAGAGACAACCTCAAGATGTCACTATGTCATTGCAAACACATAACTGAAGAGCTCTTTCATAAAGCCCTTCTGCATGTGTAAGGATGCCTGGTGGCATGCACCACAAAGAGCAAGCAGACAACTGTTATGCCACGTTTTAAACTTTTATTTACTAAAATTAACTCTTCACTGGCTTCAAAAAGGGAAAAAAATAATTATCAACTGTGAAATCACAATCCATGCTGTTTTTTTTTTTTAAAAAAAAGGGGTAGGTGCATACATACCCATACATGGAATCACAATTAATTTCCAGAAGTTTCAGTAAATACACTGGTGTGGGAATTCCTGATCCTGCAGCCTGTCTCCTTTTAGAAACAGTTTACATAAAAAAGAAATTGGAGGAAGGCAAGAAAGAAGGAAGTGAGGTCTCCAGCGTCCTCTTCTCCCCAGACCCCCAGGAAATGCCCAGAAAAGGTGTGATGACATGGGGGAAGGGGGACCTGGTAACGGTTTTAAAACACAATCTCTTTTTGCTATAGGCAACAGAAACAAACAGGCAACAGAAACAAATGACAAAGAACTATTCCATGAATGTAATATAGAAAAGGGGAAAAAATTCCTGCTGGGAGGCCAGCCAGTTTTTCTCTTTGTAAATTACTTCTCTTCTTCTTGCCCACTGGAATTCACAGGGCACTTTAATAAGCTCAGCAGTAAAACCAACAAAACCCACAAAATCCCAAAGCAGCACCCTCCCCCAGCTCCACAATCACCTGTATGAGGCAAGACCCTTCATTTACAGAGTGGAACACTGCACTGAGGCTATCTGCATTCTCAGGTACATACACTTCATGCACTTCAACAAAACTGTTCAGTCTAAGTGTATTTGCTTTCTTTATCAAATCGAGTCATAAACGTAGAATAAAAACACCACACCAAACACCGTAAGATACAGCCCCCCTTCAATGGCTCATGAAACAAGGGGTCTTTGGTCTGAATTCCCATGGTCCCTCCCTCAGACTCGGGGTATGAAATGCTGCAGAAACTGGTAGTTTCCAAATTGCCATGATCCAAATGTTTCCAAAGACCTTCCGTGGCAGCAAACAGCTTAGAAAACCCAACAGCAGGGCTGCAATGAGTTTAAGAAGAATTTCTTCTCTCACGGCAGGATTGAAGACTGGAAAGCCACTAATGGGGCAAATGCTTGCCAAGTATTCCCCACCCCCCCCATAAGCAAGCTTTTAACACATGCCAAAAAAAAAAGGAAGGCTCCCAGCAGAGTCACTGTAAAACAACCACATATGACTAAGAGTAAACAAAGAGGAGTAACTCCTAACACAGTATGTTTGTCCAGACCAGATCGTTGCATCACCTCAATATAACACGTGATTTTATAACTGCAGCCTAAATCAGCTGGAGCTAACAACAAACTATCATGTCAACTATCATGTGCAGGTAAGGCTTTTACTGGGAAAATATTTTGCAGGAAAAAAACCATCGTAACCACCATTGCTCATAAATGCCACTAAATGGACTCTTCCTCATTTCTTCTTGCAACTTCAGTCAGCTATTTGTGTAACGCATTATTAAGCGGCAGCAAATCTGAATTATTAAAATGTCATAGAATAAGCATGAAATAAGGAACTGTTTCGTAATTCTTTAAAAATGCAAGATTTAGTTTCTTTACAGTTAAGAACCTGTTGTTCTGCTGCCTACTGTCTATTACAAATCCATGTACCACTCCAACTGGAAAGTATTTGTGATGTAGCAAGCAAATTGCTCTGAATATATATCCCCATCCTCTGCAGTGCACTGTATGCTCATGTGGCTTTGTTAGAAAAAGAAAGAAGATTGGGAAATGGAACAGTTTACTTCCTATAGCACAAGTTCAAGGCACTGCTATTGTATGAAATAATTTAAGATCTCATCTAGCAAGCATTAACCTTCAGAAAACATTTTACTTGCAAGGTAATACAACTTCACTTACCTGAACAGTCATGTGTTTCATAGCAATGAAGTGATTTGTGCAAAAAGACTTCACTTACGTATATTTTCAAGACATGTGTGAGCTTCACGTGTTGTGGGGAAGTACAGAAGGGTAACTGTAGTGGCTCCGGAATGCAAAATAAAATAATCATCAAGAGATTTTTTTCTGGGCACGTGTATGTCAAACACCTGCACATCCACTATGTCCGTCTCCTACAGAAATAAGAGGGGGAGGAAGGGGGAAGTTTCCTCACCTGCGTGGCCTAGTTCTGGGAGACATCATCTCATTCCCAAGGATGTGGTATCGCCTGGCTTCGTGCAGCAGTTGATAGCACTCCGGGGAGTTCTGAATCAGCTGGTCCACTTCCACAGTCTGAACAAAGTAGTTTGGGTGTAACAAGGGGAGCCTGACGTGCGTCAGAAGTTCATGTAACACTGGTCTTCGCAGCTCGACTGCCCGGTACACCCAGCGCATGACGGCTTCAAACACCATCTCTTCCTTGCTGATCACCAGTTCGTCGCTGCAAATGTAATCAATGAGCTCATCCTTCCCCAGTTCGAGGAATTCTTCGTGCTGGGACACGTCCTCAAAGGTCTGCAGCGCAAAATTCCTGCACTTGGTGAAGAGTGTCTTGAGCGAGTGCGTATCTGCAAAGCGCTGGATTCCCAGGCAGTTGCAAGGATCCAGCTGTTCTTCCAGGAACTTGGCACAGGCGTCGCGCAGAACGCTAATCTGAAAGAGACTCGAGGTTTCAAAGAGATACTGCACGTTCTCCGTAGTGATTTTCACCTTGCCAGTGTATACGTACTGTAAGAAGCAATCCATAGCTTCAGCAAGAATGCCGTTGATCTCCACCAACATCTCCCTGCTCTCTCTGTGATCGTTGCAGAACATGGCTCTGAAGTAGCTGCTGCAGGCTGAGAGGACAGCACGATGGCAGGGAAACTCCCTTCCTTCCACGCAGATAATGACATCCGTGAACAACCGGCTGTCTCGAAATTCATTGAAGATCTGCAGAATGCTTTCGGCGTGGGATGATCCCGAGGAGAAGTCAAAAAACTCAGGGCCTGACAACGATTTTGGGTCCATTTCAAAAACTTTCCGCTTGGTTGCAGGGGAATCTCGTATCCCGCTCTCCTCTCTATTCAGTCTGCGTCCCAATATTAGTACCATTGTTACATCAGATGGCTATAGAGTCATTGAGAAAAGTTTGCAGAGTTTCTCCTTCGCAGTGCTACGGTCTGAAAAATTAAAACACTTCAGTATTCAGTCTGGCATATTCTTAACTTCATCGCAACAAGCTACTTGTTTGGTCACTCTAAGAATTAGTACAATTTTTGACCTTTGCTAGAGGTGACACAGTATTACAGGGCAAATGGGTGTGCACCTCACGCAGGGCAGCACAGGGTTATCTGCTGCATGTTAAATACAAAATATACCCATAGAACAGGTGTCAGGGAGGGCAAGTTCTGAATGTCCCAGCACCGCTGGCATTGCATTAGTGTTCAAGATAAAAAAAGACCTGAGATCTTGACTCCAGCAAATCACCCGACTGACAGAAGCCAAAGATTTCCTGGATAAAGATCCCGAGCTCGGGCTTTTCTCATTTTTCAGTGTAATCCTCATTTCACCTGGAGCCTCCAAGTGCTATTATAACAGCACTAGTCAAAAAGGGAGGAAAAAACACTGACATTGTATTACAGGGCAAATGGGTGTGCACCTCACGCAGGGCAGCACAGGGTTATCTGCTGCATGTTAAATACAAAATATACCCATAGAACAGGTGTCAGGGAGGGCAAGTTCTGAATGTCCCAGCACCGCTGGCATTGCATTAGTGTTCAAGATAAAAAAAGACCTGAGATCTTGACTCCAGCAAATCACCCGACTGACAGAAGCCAAAGATTTCCTGGATAAAGATCCCGAGCTCGGGCTTTTCTCATTTTTCAGTGTAATCCTCATTTCACCTGGAGCCTCCAAGTGCTATTATAACAGCACTAGTCAAAAAGGGAGGAAAAAACACTGACATTTTCCAAAAATTCCACTGAAAAATCACTCTGTTTTCATTATAAAGTCGATCATAATGAAGTCTTACAATACTAATGTTTAATAACATTCAGTTATCTCTATGAATAACCTTGACCATAACTTTTTACCTGTTCATTAGTAACATCTAAAAATTAGTTCAATATAAGACTCAATTAAAAATGAATAGAAATTGCTAGTGCACAAAACAGAATGTAGGAAGAACTACATTTGTTTGTGAAAATAAGAACCAAGGGCAACTCACCTGAGGACAGGGCTATTTTCTGTTTTCCAAAGTACTACAGACAAATCTTTATTAGCAAAACCTTTTGCTCAAACACTTTCCAGTTTCAAATACACAGTGTATAACGTCCCCCTCAGCTCCCAAACACACATGTAAGCAGAGCACTGAAGTCACAAAAATCAAGTAGTCAAACGTTAGCATATGTCAAGACTCAAGTCTGCTGGTAAAGAAAATGCAGCTGATTTTGCAGATAGCAGTGCCTATTGGAGGTAACGTGATGACCAGTCTAGCAGCAAGAGGGGGTTCTTCCACTCCTGAGCTTTAAAATCAACTGGATGAACGTCCACCACAACACACTGAGGCAGCAAGAAGCTGGGCAAAACACCCTCTTGGGTCTGACACAGGTATCATTCTACATGCATAGAATATTTATTTTTGTGTCCAGAAGGACATGCGCTGAATTATTTTAAATTTTATGGAAATTTTTGTCATGCTTCCAAGGAGTTCTGTTCAGCTTCCCCTCATTCCCCACATAGTCAGTAAACGTCAGCTCCTCACAGCAATTTCATTTCCTGACATGCTCACATCTTCAGAGCTGCAATTACCCAATCCAAGTCTGGCTACATCATCGCTTAATATAGAACACAATGAACAGGCTTTTTTTTAAACAGGCTCTTTACGTTGCTGGCTGGGGCTAAATCACAACAACAGCACCTTTAGAAGGCACCATCTTAACAAAGAGCAAGAAAAGAATGTGTGCTGGACATTTAGTCATTGAGAAAAGAGGCTGAAACATTTATATGGAAAATATATGGTTATATATATATAAAATATGGTTATATATTTGGTTATATATATATATGGTTATATTTGGTTATATATTTTCCATATAAAACTTGTTACACATATTTACAAGGTACTTTCTTGGTATGGCTCATTTACCCTACCCTATTTCATTTTCATTTGAATTAAAATAGGATCAGTTGTCTACTTTGATGCCTGAAAAACACTGTTGCAATGAGCCTATCTAATAACCGATTGCTTCAGAGAGGTTTTAACCAGGCAGAAACGGACAGCCTAATCTGTAGCTGCTATTCCAGCCAACATATTTCACAACAATTTTACCCTGTAATGACGCAGGCCAGATACAAAACAAAACCAACAACAACAACCACCAGCACCTCACCAGCTCCGCTGCAAACACCCTAACCCTTCCACTGAACTTTATCTGCAATTCATTCCAGGCTACTCAGCGTGAGAAAGTGGGCAGAAATGAAGCATCAGCAGCAGAAAAGGGAAATGTAACAATGAAAACAGAAATATAAACGCTAGAGGCTTGATTCCAGTGTCATAGATTTAAATCAAAAGAATTTCACTAAAGCTACTGGAGCTTTTCCAAAGCAAAGGAAGCCTGAAATCAGAAACAAGACCCTGGCGTGTTGCACGAAAGGGCAAAACACAGAAACTAAGTAAAAAAGCAACATCAAGATTAAATCTTTCTCATTATGTGAGAAGACTTAAGAAGACACTGTATCGTGCAATCACTAATAGATGGAAATAATGGCTCTGGGTTAAGCCTGCTCACTGCAGGAAGAAACATCTTTATACTTGGAACAACACAAAATTAGTGGTCAGCAAGTGATTTTTTTATTTTTTTTTTTAATGTCCCGATGGTTTAAAGAAATGGGAGACTAAAAAAAATTTAAAAACCCCATGGAGCAAGAACTAATCAAGGACTGCTCACTGCAGGAAGAAACATCTTCTTTATACTTGGAACAACACTAAATTAGTGGTCAGCAAGTGATTTATTTTTTTTTTAATGTCCTGATGGTTTAAAGAAATGGGAGACCAAAAAAAAATTAAAAAACCCCATGGAGCAAGAACTAATCAAGGGAATAAATACTGCAAATTCACAAAGAAAAGAATGAAAAGGAAAAGAAATTACACTCCACTGCAGAAATTACTGCTTTTGAATATACTATACTTCACTTTCTATCCAGTTAATTCCTTCTGTAGGTTTGCTTAAGCGAAGTAATTTTACAAGACCATCAGTAACAGAGTCTCACGTTCAGCCTTATCGATCAGACACAGAAATGCCCTTCTTGCAAATCTTCCTCTGGCAGTTTTAAAAAGGTCCCAGTTCAGCTGCCAGCCCTGTGTTTCAGCCCCAAAACCGGAAAGGCAGAGAGGAATCCTGTCTGGAGCCGCGCTGCTCAGTACGCACGGGAGGGAAACAAGGGGAATAAACCTGTCTGCACCTTTTGTGTATATAAAGGACTTAGAGATACCTACAGACTCTGCATTATAAGGCACTAGCTATTCAGAGAATTTAAGTTTGAGATATCTTCAGTAAGTTTAAATGAAGCAAAAGAAAAATAAACAAAATTTTTCCCCAGGGCAACTATTGGAAATTATTGTATCAAAAAAATACAAAATGCATTGGATTGCTTGCCTGAGCGCGGGTCAGCAAGGACAGACCTTAAGTGCGCTGCTCGGTGCACGGGAGGGAAACAAGGGGAATAAACCTGTCTGCACCTTTTGTGTATATAAAGGACTTAGAGATACCTACAGACTCTGCATTATAAGGCACTAGCTATTCAGAGAATTTAAGTTTGAGATATCTTCAGTAAGTTTAAATGAAGCAAAAGAAAAATAAACAAAATTTTTCCCCAGGGCAACTATTGGAAATTATTGTATCAAAAAAATACAAAATGCATTGGATTGCTTGCCTGAGCGCGGGTCAGCAAGGACAGACCTTAAGCAAATCAGGGTCTACCCAATCAAAAAACTGGGCAGGAAAAACAAATGTTTTGTATCAACAGGTTTTAAAAACAGTCTACAAACACAGCCACAGCTATGACATGCATGTTACCGTGCACGTGTACATGTCTAAATTAATCTCTGGGTTTACCCGATGATCAGGTTTCTCTGTTTCCTTAACCTATATTGTCTATAGACTTGTCTACACAAGACGTTCCTCAGAAATAATCTGACTGAGGGCCCAATAAAAAGGCTGGTAAATGAGGTCTGTGTTTGCCCCGACACATTCTGTGGGTAAATCCTCCCAGGCAAATAACTTTTACATCGCACTAAACTCCTCCTTCCTCCGCTGCACTGTCCTCATGGATTTTACCCCTCTCCCTTCACCCACAGCTCTGGCAGCAGTTGGCAACCTTCTGGCAGAGCTGTTTTTCTCTCTCCTGTGTCACAGGACTCCTTTGGTCCGTTAGCGGAACCGTCAGACAGACAGACAGCAGAGGAACCACCACACAAGCAGGGTCGGGGCGAGGCCGCGGGTAACACCTCGTCATCAGGTGTGCCCCAGCTCGGCCCGCAGGGTGCAGTTTTGGGGAGTACCTGAAGCTGGGCTGGGCTGCTGCTGCTGTCAGAGGAGGTGGTGTCCACCCTGCGTGCCCTCCGCCGTGTCACCCCAGCACCAGCGCTGGCCTGGCGTGGCTGGACCAGTGACCACCTGTGAAGGGAGAAAAGGAGGTGCTGGCAACAGCACAGGGACACCGATGGCACAACCCCGGTGGCCCAAGCCTGCTGACAAGTCACCTCTACCATTGCCTGTCATGGTACCAGTAACAGCACCCCGAGGTAACACAGCCACAATTAACAAAATAAATGGTATTGTCATCCTAAAACACGGGATCTGTAACCAGAATTAGCCCACCCTGACTGATTTCCTTTGTGATTTCGGCGAACACGACCCGCAGGTGTGCTTTGTCTCAGGCATCCCCACCACCAGAGAGCACAGACACCAGTAAACCCCAGCACCGGAGCTAAAATGCTTTTATCTTAAAGGTAGAGAGAAGGAAAAACAACAACAACAACAAAAAAGGCAGCATAAGCTTTCCCTCCACTGAAAAACAAACACAGCATTTATTTTTGCTTCTTTGGACTGTTAAAAAAAGACCAAAGCATTGTCAATTTTAAAGGACTTAAAAAAAAATTAATTTGTCTTGTTTTACAATAGAAATTGAGGATGTGAACGCTTTTAAGTTGAATGAAGTCTTTGAAAGTACTAACTAGTGAACAAGAATTCAAAGCAACACAGTAAAGGGTTAGTTGTGCTGCAGAAGTTTTTTAAATACATGATACTATTTTGATTTAAAAAAAAAACATACTCTGAATGCCAAAAATCAATAGTAATCAAGCCAGTGACACACAAAGCAAGCCCTGAGTGCCCTCAAAAAACACCCAGCGAAAACAGGAACTGATCTGGACGTGAGACTCATGGTTATTAAAGAAAACAAAACAAAACCAAGCAGCAAAAAGGGGCACCTTTGCCCCGTGCCGGAGCCTTTAGATAACCCGGCTGTAAGAGCGGTCACCTCCCCGGGCACACACCCGCTGGCGGGAGCGCTGTGCCCTCCCGTTAGTGCTGGAGAACTCACTGCTCTCCCCTCGGATTCGCTGTCGTTTTACACATATTCAGCTTTTGCTTAAAATAAAATAAAAATAAATGACGTGGTACGTGACTACGTGCTTCAGGGGCTTCCAGGGGGCTCAGCCAACACACACACACACACTGCAGCGCTCCAACAGCCGGGCCGGTGTCACGACCCGCCGAGACCCCCGGTACCTCCAGGGCCGGCAACTCCCGGTCGGTAGCGAGGCGAGAACCAGAGCGATCTACGGAGCGGAGCACGGGCCCCCGCCGGTCCTCCCGCCCCGGGGGCAGCGGCCGGCAAACCCCCAACATTCCACGCTCCTCCCCGCCCCTTTCTGCTCTAGACGGGAACAAAGCGTCACCCAAACAAAACAACCGGCCCACAAAAACAACCGGGTTGCGGGGGAGGCCGGGGAAGGGCGGGGGGGTGGGCCGTCGGGCCCGCTCTCCGGCCGTTCCACCGCCACAGCGGCACAAAATGGCAGCGCCCGGGGGGGAGCGGACGCCGTCCCCGGCCGAGGGAGGGACTCCTCTGAACCACAGAACCCCGCCGCCGGCTACAGCCCCGAC